GCCTGGTCTTGGCAGCCACAAGTCAGTGCCCAGTGCTCCCCAGCCACACTCCACTAAGAAAAGGGTCCCAGGAAAGCCCCATCTGTTGCCTTCCCACCCCTCGCAAAAAAATAGCCCCGGAGAGAAAAGGGTGATATGGTCAGTCAGGCCGAGTTCTTCAGCCCCTGACCCCCAAGGTCATCACCGGGATTCCAGGCCAGCCCAGGATCCTGACACCAGCACTATACCCAGCATTCCACCAGCTACCACCATGGCTTCCTCATGAGAGCCTGGGCTCTTGGGCCCAGACAACTCCCAGAGGGTCCAAGACATGGCACAGAAGTGCTGCCTCTCTGGAGGCCCGAGGGAGGGCTGGCAGTAAGGCCATGGGGCCATGGATGGGGCTTGGGCTAGACAGGACCACCCTCTCCCTCCACAGGCCCTGTCTCATCCCTACCTGGCCCCCAAGGTACCTGAGTATGAAAGCCCTGCTTTTAGAGTCATCACTTGCCACCCCAACAAATTCAGTGGGCAAGAAGAGTGAGTTAACCAGGACCAGGTGAGCAGTGACCAGAGCTCCAGGTCTCCTTGCCCCCTGCCCATCCAGCCCTTGACCCAGATAACCCATGGGGGCTTCCCTTCCCTACTCAGTTGAGTTTGAGCCAGAGGAGGTGATCTTGGGGTTCTACCAGGGCCAAGAACATGCAGGCACAAGCATCGTCCTGTGGGAAGGGCAGCAGTGCTCTGGCCCACTCTCCAGGACCTACCCCCACTGAGAAGACCAGGAAGTGGGGGGCTGGGGGAACAGCCCTAGACTGCAGGAGCACAAGGTCTCCATAGGAGCACCACCCCCTTTTCACTCTTCCATCCCTGCATACCTTCCAAACTCTCAGCTTTACCCTGCAGACACAGCCAGAGGTACGAGGAAGGTATTGCTTGGGTTTGTCCCAGACATGGTGCCGCTTCAGCTGAGAACAACAGAGTAGCCAGGGCAAGGATACAGCTACAAAGGCTCAGGGTCAGTCCAGAGTGAGAGGAACAGAAAGGACAATGTACCGGTAATGCAGATGTAAGGGGGACGCAGGGACAGCTGAGGCTGGGGGCTCCTAGGCTGAGTCCCAAAATGGGGGGTCTGGAGTGCCACTCAGAAGGAGGTACACAAGTTTTGGGAGGAGGGTCATGCAGGGGAGAGACCTCAGGGAGGAACCACTGGGGAATCTATGCAGCAGGGAGCCGGGACCTGGGTCCTAACATCTCTGGGATGGTTGGAGCTGTGATCTGGAGAGAATAGGGAGACCTGGGCTCCTCTGGAGGAATACAGGATGTCCAGGTGGAGCCAGGAAAGGGGAAGTCAGAGTGCATCCCAGGAGCTTGCAGCCTGGGTGGGGCAGGCGTGGGGGAGGGCTGGCAATGCTTGTGCCTGCCCCCACACTCCAGTCCCTTTCATTCCTGAGTCAGGGTGATCTGACCCTTATCACTGGTCCCACATGTGGGTGAGATCAGTGCCAGGCGCACAGCACAGACCTCAAGAGAACCCTCCCCAGGGTTCTGGCATGCATCATCCAGGTCTCCATTTTAGAGTCTGTCTCCTTGGCAGGCAAGTTAGGCCTGAGTGGTCCCCAGAGGATGGAAAGCATGTCAAAATGAACACAAAACCAGTGGAGGAAGCTGACAGTTGCAACTTCAACATCCCACCTTGGTGCACCAGGGAGACTGGCAACTCTACTTCTGATCCAGCTTCCTGTTGACACACCTAAGAAGACACTAGGGAATGACCCAAGTGTTGCACCTGCCACCCACATGGATGCTTCTGGGTTCTGGCTCTGGCTTGACCCAGACTAGGTGTTGCAGCCATTTCGGGAATGAACCAGAAGATGATCAGTTCTCTCTCTTTCTTTCTCTTTCCATTTTTCCATAAATAAGTAAATAAATCTCTAAAACAAAATGAACACAGAGAGCAGCAGGTCTGAGAAACACACAGCAAGTTCTGAGTCTCTGAATGCAGCCATGCCTGAACTCCCAGGACTTCCCAGCTGTGCCCAGGAAGGCCCTTTATGCTTCATCCAAGATGGGCTGGTTTCCTGTCACTTAACCTGAGCACATCTTAGTGAAGACCACCTTAGGTTATCGTGTACATCAGTAACAGCAGACACCAAGCAGGTGCCTCAGCTCTGACCTGAGAAGCTCCAGTAACTACAAGAACCCAGGAGTCCCCCACAACCCCCTCTGGTGCTCTACCTTTCCATGAAACCAATCTGCCTCAGCTTATCCATCCCCCAAAAATGAGAGGACCACAGTTGACACAATCATGTGCACAATCCTTATCTGGGTAAGTCAAAAGACTTAACATGGCAACCACTACCCGCTTTCAAATCAGAGAAACACTTGGGGCCAGGCAGACAGCTGAGCAAGGGTGTGCCCCAGGCGGGGGTGGGACATCAGGCAGGTCTCACCTGCCTATGTCTTTGGAGACAGAATCATCCCCACCTTGAGCAACAGGAGCCCAGCTGCCTGCTGTGGTCTCCAAATGTCTAGAGAAAGGCTCCTGTGCCTGGTCTGTGTGCGCAGTGCAGGATGATGGGTGAGGAGGGGTCTGGGAGGGTATTCCACTACAGCAACATGTAGAGACCAGAGAGGGGACCTCCCCACCCCAAGCTGTGCACACACCTCTGAGCCCAAGGGTGAGTGCTGGCATGTGCCGGTTGCACACAGCAAGCAAGTGCGGTGCCCAGGGCAAGCCCGCAAGTGTTCCCAGAGCAGAAATGGCTGCAGAGGAGCCATGCTTCTCAATGGGTATCCCCAGGAGCAAGAGCCTCCTCAGGCACAGCTGCGTGCTAACAGGATCCCTGGGATCCCCATGCATGACTCACCAGCAAGGTGCCCTCAGCCACATGGCAAGGAAGAGCGGGAGAGGGCTGTGTGTAGCTGGCTGCAGCCCATGCATTTCCCACAGTGAGAGCATAGCAATAACCCTGCGTCCCAGCATCCTTCCCCGCCCCCCACCGAGACTTAGAAGCACTGTGAGGATAAGGGGTTGCCCAGACCCAGGCCAGAATCCCAGCTTCACCAGCAGTATGGTCCTGGGCAAGGTTTGCAGCTTCTCGCAGTCTTGGGGCTTCCTCTGTGCACCAAAGATGAGCACACCTCCCCTAAGGGGCCTCCATGAGGGTGCCATGCACGGCATTCACCAGCCAGTAGGTTCCTCACAGAAACACAAAGGCACCTGCAAGCTGAAAAGCAAAACCCAAACGGACACCTCTAGGAAGGGAGATGGAGTGATGACACCATGTCTCAAGGCATTTGAGGCCACTCAGGCAGGTCCAGCCTCCCTTGCACCACCCCTCCCCACCCCCATACTCCTTTGAGCTCTGCCTTGTGCCTCTGTGCGCGTCTGTCCGGTACCGGTGCCATCTCTGCCTGCCTTTTCCTGCCCAGGCCAATTCACACCGGGTGGCTCTTCCTCCGCACAAAATGCCCACATGTGCCTTTGATAGCTGACAACCCATTCTTCCAGACCTCTTTCAGTCAGCCCCCTAGGAGCCTACTCTCAAAGCCCTGACTGGCTCCCTTCAGCTACCCTGCAGACATGAGCTCTCTGAAGGCCTTCTAGGCCGGCAGCATAGCTGACCGGTCCCCAAAAAACACCTAAGATGCTAGCTGAACAAATGAATCATCAAACAAACGAATGAATGAATGCATGCATGCAGCTAGACCGCTCCAGGATGTTCTATGAGTCCCAGGATGTCCTCAAGGCCAAGAGGGATGCACCACGTTAGCCCAAGGACATTTTCTAGAGTTGGCTGTAATGTGCCTGGCTGCTAAGGAACTCCAATCTAAAGCAGCGATTTTTCTTTTTCCAAAGCAACAAGTGACATAAATCTCCTGCAGCTCACTGGTCGATCACGGGGCTGCAGACAGTGGGGCAATCCGGCCGGCTGAGGCTCAATGTGCTGGGGCTAGGGCGGGGGCAGGTGGGGTGGGGTGGCCAGCAGGGCAGGCGGCAGGAACGGTCAGGGGCGGAACCACGGTGGGTGGCAGCAGATGTCAGCCAGCAGGGCATGCCCACCACACACCCAATCTAAAATAGAAAAAACTGCAGTGGCTTCTGCCCATGCCAGGCCTCTGGGCAGCCGGACACAGCAGCGCCAATGTCAGCTTCCTCCCTGAGAATCGATCCATGCTTCCTCAGAGGCCCTCTGGTATGAAGCCAGAGTCTCAGTGGGCCCCCAGGCCACACTGGGGGGCTCAGGCAGTTGTGGGAGTCCACCCCACCACCAGGTCCCAGCCCACCCTACTCCATCCCACCCAGTCTGTCTCCTGTCTCTCATGGGCTACCCCAACAACATCAAAAGCCCACAGGCACTAGAGCCTTCATTTCCAAATGCTCCCCTTGGCTCAAAATAGAGAGGAAAACCAACTTTTCAAATAAGCAGCTGGAGTTCAACAGGAAACCACAGCATCAAAAGCAGTGGCTCCCGGTCAGCCAGGGGTTGCAGAGTAACTGGGCACTCGAGCGCCAATGCCTGATTCCTGGGCTGGCACTATCAGCACGCACAGAAAGAGATAGTCTGTCAGCACATACGCCCCCCCACACACATACATATTACACAGGCTGAAACACTTCCACAGTTTTACACAGCACAGACCCCACAAGCACACACCTGCACGGGAGGCAGGCAACAGCACGTGCTTGCACACCCTGCCAATCCAAATCATCTGTGCGAATGGGTGCCCCGCCTGTGCCACACACACGGGCGTCAGCAAGCGCAGGGACGCATGCTCTGCCACTTGGCAAGCACTTTGGGGGACCTGACCCCACCTCTGAATACATAAACCACCCCAGCTCAGATCAGCAGAAATAACTTGCCTTCCAGCCAATCTCTTCATTGGGGTCCCCTCCTGCTCTCCCATCCCAGTCGAGATGCAGATGTGGTCTCAGTCCATGTTCTGCCTTCTCCAAGGACTTGCCGGGTAACCCCATTCCCAAACCCAGGCTCAGAAAGGAGCCAGCGCGCACTTACCAGCCCGTCGCAGTTGCTGAGCGCCACGGAGGAGGCTACGGGCAGATCCGCCACGTCTCCGATGTAGAGGCAGGTCCCAAGCAGGGGCTCCACGCGGGTGGCGCCAGAGTCACCCTGCCACTCCACCGTGGCGCCAGGCGCCACGAGGCGGACATTGGGCCGCAACCGCAGGTGCAGGTCTCGGCCGAAGACGGTGACATTGTAGAAGAGGCGGCCACCGGCATCCTCCTCGCTGTCTCCGGGGAAGTCCGGGGTCCCCACAGGGGCAGCCCTGCGGGCTCGTATTCCCACCCCGGCCGTCGTTGCTGCCGACACCACGTGGGACACCAAGCGGCCCTGGGCGTCAGTGCGCACCGGCACCGCCAGGATGCGCTCCGCTGCGGGCCCGAGGGGCCCTCCTGCAACAGGGAAGGGCGTTAGACCCGCCGAGACCGTGAGCCCTAGGACCGCGAGTGAACGCGGCAGCCCCCAGCCCCGCCCCACTGCCAGGGGAAGGGCCATTCCTTCCGCCCTGCGGCCCCTCAGAAGCTCCTACACTTCCCGGGCTTTCTCGCAATCAGGAAAGGATGTTAGCAAAGCCCCCCGCTCCAGAATCAAGCCGCCCTTCCCGCCCCCACCTCGGGGCCCGGCCGTGCCCCTCCGGGACCCTGCCAGCCAAGAGCTCTCCTCCCTGCCTTGATCCGGGACCAGGGCTCCATTAGTTCCTTCTCGCAGTTCCCCAGAGGACGGACTCCAGCAGAGCGTCCCCGGCCCCTTGAGCCCATCGTCCTTGGCAGGATGAGGGGCTGCTCCGAAGCCAAACCCCGCTGGCCCCCGTCAGTGCACCTCGTCCCCTCGGCTGCTCCCGCGGCCCGAGCGCCCTCGCCGCTGACTTGGAGCCCCCCCCCGGAGCACAGGCCGCCTGTCCTCCTTGTCCGGTGCTCGGTCAGCCTGCAGCCGGCTCCCGCACCGCCCCCCCCAACCGCGCGCACCCTAGGGCAAGCAGGGCACGGAGCAGGGTCCCGCCGGTCTCCGGGGATCCCGCTCTGGGGCGCCCCAGCAAAGCCTCAGGGCCCCCAGGCGGTGCGCTCTGCACCCAGCACCTCCCGAGCGTCCCCGGACCTGAGCTCCAGCACCGCCGCGCCCTGGCTCCCCGGGTCCCACCGGAGCTGGCTCTGCGCTTCCTGCCGTGGGGCTTTCCCGGCCCTCGGTCTTCACGCCGGTGCTCACCAGCAGTCGGCGAGTGCGTCCGGGCTCCCCACCTAACCGCGGCCAGAGACGCCCGGGTGAGGCGCGGGGCGCCCCCTGTGCGACCAACCCGGCCCCAAAGTTGGCCAACTTGGCCCCGGGCGGGGCGCGCCGGAGTTTGCCTAAGTCCGGCTGGACACTGCCTGGGGAGGGGGGCTGAGGGGCGAGGGGCAGGGCCAGTCGGCGGGGTCGCGGCGCCAGGGGTGGGAGACAGAGTAGGGAAAGGACCCGACCGCACCTACCTGAGGGGTCGGTGGCAGCGGCGAGCCGGGTGTTCGCGGGCGGCGGCAGCAGGAGCGGTAGCAGCAGCAGCAGAGCGGGGCAGAACAGGCGGCGAGCCGCTCCCGCCGGCGGATCCATGGCAGCCGGACCGCAACCGGGGCCCCGCACTCGCAGCCGGCGCGAAACTTCCCCGCGCGCCGCCCAGCCCACATCTGGGGGCAGCTGGAGCCGCCCGCAGCTGCAGCACCGCAGGGCGCGGGGCGGAGGAGGCGAGGCGCGGCGGGGAGGGCGGGGAGCGCGGAGGGAAGGCGGGGAGAGGGAAGCGGCGAGCGAGCGAGCGAGCGCGCGAGGGAGGCGGGAGGGCGGGCGACGGCGCGGAGGGGGAGGGCGGCGGCGGGCGCCTCAGCCTGCGGTGACCCGGCGCTTCTTGGCGCGGCCGCCGCCGCGGTGCCGGACTCTCAGCCGAGAAGAGAAGCCTCGAGGCGGCGGCCGAGAAGCACCGTGGGCCGTGCGGCCCGGGGCAGCCAGGGAACCCCGCCGCCCGCCAAGCTGGGCGTGCCGGGTGCCCTCGCGGGGAGAGGCGGCGGCCGGCGCATCCCCACCCGCAGAGTCCCGGGGCACAGGGGCCGTCCACTCCATCGTTACGAGGCCTGGGGAGTGGGCACGGGCGAAGGTCTGAGGGTGGAGTGGGGACTGGAACTGCCTCGGCTGGGCTCGCAGCCCAAGTGGAGGTCCGGGAGGCCAGATGATGCTGTTTGGGGAAGGGCCAGCTCCCTGGCTACCCCAAAGATCAACTTCTGTCAGGAACTGAGAGAACGGGCTAGCAAGGAGTTTTGAGCTTCTCTCTGCCTCCCCGCCCTCGTCGGGCCTCTGGGCAAGGCCTCCCACGCAGACGGGACGCTGTAGAGTTCCCATTCTCCATCCCACCTGGGCACTCCAGCCTCCTGGCCTGCCCCTTTCGGCCCTCTTCCTCTCCCAGCTGAGCAGCATCCAAGCCAGGGCAGGTTGGCTGCCAGAGCACTTTTCTGGCCAACTAGAATCTCTCGGTCCAGCAGGGCAGGGGCCCTGCCTGCGTGAGGTCCCCCGGAGGAAGCACACCTCCGCATTGTGGGCCCTCAGCTCCAGCCTCACTCCCCTCCCCCTCCATCCTTTGCTGCATCCTGCCCCAGGCCTGTGTGGCAGAGGATCCAGAGCTGATCCAGGCCCCTCCCTGCTGGCCAGAAAGGCCCAGTCTTTCGGGGAAACACATGACTTGCACAACTCAGTCTAGCTGCGATCGCTGGAGCCTGAGTGTGAGGGCACTGCGACTTGACAATGTCCTCACTGGAAAGCCTCTCTCACCTGAGGGTGTCAGGCTGGATCCGACCCCCAGCCATGGTGCACATTTGTTCAACAGTTGAGAAAGGTTAGAAGACTTCACAGAAAAAAAAAAAAAATGTAGCTTTTTGATTTGTCTTGAAAAAAACTGGCCACAGTAGGCACAGAGCCTATCCCATCCCTGCAAGTCCCATCCCTGGACTCCTGTCAGGCACCCCCCCCCCCGTGACCTCTAATGACCCAGCTGGTTGGGGACAGACAAACTTACAACTGGAATCCAAGTGCAACAGAGGAGCCCTGACTGCAGAGCCCGCACCCAGAAGGCCCTCCTGTGGGAAGTGGCATTGTGGACTCCTAGAGCCTGGGGAAACCTAGTGGCATGGAGCACCCAGCAAGGTGCTGTGCTGGGATGTCAGATGCATGCCTTCTGAGATGCATGGCCTTTTGTCCTCCCTGAACTCTCTCCTGCTTCAGGGGTCACTTGGAAAAAAATACGTATTTTCATTGGAAAGGCAGAGTTACAGAGAAAGGAGAACAGAGAAAAGGTCTTCCATCTATTGGTTCACTCCCCTAAATGGCCACAATGACCAGAGCTGGGCTGGTTCAAAGCCTAGAGTAGGAGCTTCCTGCCGGTCTCCCATGTGGGTACATGGCCATCCTCAGCTGCTTTCCCAGGCACATGAGGCAGGGAGCTGGAACAGAAGTGGAGCAGCCAGGACTCGAACCAGTGCTCATATGGGATGCTGGCACCACAGGAAGAGGCCTAGCACTATACTACAGCGCCAGTCAGGGCGTCACTTTCAACTACCTTGACCACTTTTGTGCCACATCCAGCTGCCCCTGCCACTATTTCTTCCATCAGCAGTTAATGATTTACTTTTTTTTTTTTTACCTTAAATGGAGAAGTCAACATCTTACCATAAAGTAGAGGCATCTGCAAAACATAAAAATAAAATGGGGGTGGGGAGGACATTATCAGATTCCAGCTACTACTGCATGCTAAGACACTGTGGCTGACAGATCAGCAAGTGTTACAGAAGTGTTAAGACAGACCAGCATGATGGCAGGATGAAAGAAGAGTAGAAAAGGAATTGCTTTCTCCTCGAGTGAGTCCCTGATATCTCCTGACAGGTGTACAAGACTGAATCATGCTGCACACCCTGGGATGCTCACTCTGGGAGAAGGAAGGCATCTGCCTGACACTCCTGACTCACCCGGGGCAGCTGTCCCTCCGCACATCACATCTGGCCTCTTGAGACTCCACCCAGACACAATCATGAGCCCTCGGCCTTAGCAGGTATGAATGAGAGACAGACCACCCTCCTTGCAGCCTGAGCTTGTGTCCCAGAAGTGATACCCAACAAGACTGAGTGGATGAGTAAGAAAGACATGCACCTGAAGGTACAGGTAAGTGCTCAGGGGGAAAAGGCTTGCAGCTTCCTGATCATCTGTTCTGTGCTTCAAAGGAAGGAAGGAAGGAAGATACCTCTGATTGCAAACTGCCAGGATTCAAATATTTCCCTCTTCTGGAAGATGCCCCCACCACCAACACACACTGCTGTCCACACCCTCTCTCCTCTCCAACAAGCAGGGTGCAAATCCCCGAGCATTGTCAGCACTTGGTCTGTCTCATAGAAACTAAGGACTGTGGAGGCCACCTCCACTCGGACACTTGGTTAGTGCATGCTGCATGTATTTTGTTTTGTCTAATTTGAGAGCCAAAGGGAGATGTCTGAATGCCCACAATGACTGACTAGGGGCTGGCTGAGGGCTGGAGCTAGTAGACAGAAACTCAATCTGGGTCTCCCACATAGGTGGTAGAAGTCGAGTTACTTGAGCCATTACTATTGCCTCCCAAGGTCTGCACTGGCTAGAAGCTACTACTGTCAGGAGCCAGAACTGGGAATCAAACACAGGCCTTCTTAACAGCCTCCACCACACCCGTTGGTCTACACCTGCCTTTGCTCTTGCTGGTTGCCAGCCTGCTCCCTGGAGGCACCAGAACTGCAGCTCTGATATATAACAGCTCAGCGTTTGGGGGAAGTGAGAAGTTGAGCCCTTGGAAGTCTCCCCAGGACTGTGGCATGCAGAGATGGGGAGCTTTGCCAGTCATCCTGAGTGTCACAAGGTGCCCCAGGGTCCTGTCAGCTCTTTCTGTTCCTGGAGCAAGGTCCCTGCATTCTCTGGGAGACCCAGGGTTCTCTGTCTTCTGGCCCTTATCTGCCAGCACAGACTTTGGAAAACTATCCCTGGACCCTGATGCTCACACAGAAAGCAGCCCCTCCGAAGGTCATCTACCTTCGGGACAAGGTCATCTTCCTCTGCAGGACTTGCCAAGCCAATCAGCAAGTAAACTCCAGAGCCTGGCCTCTTGCGGCCCCGGGGGGTGGGGGTGGGAGGGTCCCCTGGTCTGCTTGGTAGAATATACCAAGTATGAGGGGCTAATGACCTTGTCATGGGGGGCCTCAGAAACTAGTAGCCCTGTCCAGCTCCACAGCTGGCAAACAGCAGGTGCAGTGGCCCCGTCAGATGCGCTGGCAGCATTCCGGCAAGGAATGGCCCTTGGTAAGCAATCTGCCAGGGGAATGCTGATCCAACAGAACATGCTGGTCAGGTGGCCTGCAGGGAGCGTCCTTCCTGCTCCTTCTTGAGTTTCCTAGCCCTTGCCAACCCACGCGTGCACTGACACACTAGGAGTTGTGTCGTTGGCTAGGTGAGAGGGAAGAAGGGGGCGTGTCTGGGCAGCAGCTTTTTCCTCATTGTGTTCCAAACCAGGCAGTTCCATGCTTCTGGGATCAAATCTGCCTGAAAGTGGAAGATGGAGCCCTTTAGGGCCAGCACTGTGGCATAGGAAGTAAAGCCACATCCTGTAAAGCCAGCATCCCACATGGCACTTTTTCTTCCCATCCGCTTTCTGCTGGTGCATCTGGAAAAGCAACAGAGGATGGCCCATTTGGGGGACCCATAGCTGGCTCCTAGCTTTGGCCTGGTCCAGCACTGGCTGTTGCAGACATCTGGGGAATTAACCAATATATTCCTGATCAATCTCTCTCTCTCTCTCTGACTTTCAAAATAACTAAATGTCTTTTAAAAAAATATGAACTCCCATGGGGTTGGCACAATGACTCAGTTGGTAAATCTTCTGGGTGTAAGCACCAGCATCCCATACAAGTGCCAGTTTATGGGCCAGCTGCTCCATTTCCTATCCAGCAACCTGCTTATCACCCAGGAAAGCAGTGGAGGATGGCTCAGAACCTTGGACCCTGCACTCACATGGCTCCTAGCTTTGATCAGTTTCGTTCCAACAAAAATAAATAAATCTTTTTAAAACTGGAGTCCTTGAAGTGTGGAGGCTTGGGGATCCAGGCTTAGTCAGCACTTCTGTGAAGACAAAGCTGGAGTCTCAGACTCAACCTAAGCAGTGATGATCTGGGGAAGACAGTACTCAATGTCCACCTGTGATTCTGCCCTTGCCCATGTGTTCAATGGAGCAAAGGATTTTTTTTTAAGATTTATTTATTTGTATTTATTTATTTATTTTATTGGAAAGGCGGATATACAGAGAGGAGAGACAGAGAGGAAGATCTTCTGTCCGATGATTCACTCTCCAAGTGAGCGCAACGGCCCATGCTATGCCAATCCGAAGCCAGGAGCCTGTTCTGGGTCTCCCACGCGGGTGCAGGGTCCCAAAGCTTTGGGCCGTCCTCAACTGCTTTCCCAGGCCACAGGCAGGGAGCTGGAAGGGAAGCGGGGCTGCCGGGATTAGAACCGGCGTCCATATGGGATCCCGGGCGTGCAAGGCGAGGACCTTAACCCCTGCG